CGTGGCACATGGGGAACACTAGTATATTTCATTAATTCCAAGCTGAAATTACAGGAACAAACCTAGTTTTAAAAAATGGTACATGGAAATGGTACATTTTCAAAAAATTGTAATAATCATATATTTAGAACAAAATCCCGACCTTCAATTTTGTCATATTTAAATGTTAAAATTGTGAAATTATGGAGAGTGCAACGAAAATGGGTCTGTCACCGCTGTTTAAGCGTTTGTTTTATCCGTAGAACACAAATAGAAAAAAATTGATGCGCCTTTTGACACTTTCTTTTATAAATTGCTTAATTTTCAAGCACAAATTATAGAAAATTCATTTTTTTTAATGAGAATGGCTTTTTATTAAGATCTGCGTTTTTAAAACAGAGTCATTTTACCCAAAGTTTTCTAGTTTCAATTTTTCAATATTAAATTTTGAAAATACAGAGTTCGCGGGAAATGCGATTAGTAACATTTTTTGCGTTCTTTGATTCATATGAAGACAAAATGTAAAAAAAAATGAAGTAGTCTTTTTCAATAAAAAAATGTTTAAAAAATACAAATTTATACCTATATTTCACACAAAATTATGCAAAAACCATTCATATTTTCGAATAATTGAATATGACCTTGTTTAAATATCTGCCTCCAAATACAGATTATGGAAAAACTCATCTTCAATATTATAGTTGTAGGAAGCCACCGAAATAACCATTTGAACTTTTGTAGTTTTCGAAAAATCAGACATTTTAATCGGTTTGCGCGACTGGTTTCAAGCTCTAAAACCGTTCAACCGATTTTCTCCAAAATTAACATTCGCCAACCGATATCTACTGTCGCAGCCCTTTCGTATTCGAAATCGAAATTTTAATTTTGGGAGGGACTCAACATGAAGCTCTTGAGACATTTTCAAAACTAATGGTCGAAATTTGATTAAATTTTGTTGTAAAGCGTAAATGGTGCTTAAGAGAATGTTGCAGGTCTCATTTTCGATGAAATTTCTGATTGTTCCAAAATGGCAAAAGTGCAATTTTGTGGCATCTTCCTACAATAATAATATTGAAGATACAGAATTTATCCTCAATGAAATCTTCTCTTGAAAGACAAATATTGAAGTAAGATCATGTACAATTTGCCTAATATTTATGTAGTTTTTGCAAAATTGTGCACGAAATATAGGTAATTTTTATTTTATTTAAAATAATGTTTCTTCCGATAAACGTGGGCAAATTGTTCTTTGACAAAAATAAATAAAATAAAATAAAATATTAAATAAAACGCAATGGCACTCGGAAACGATTTTGCAAAGTGACGTCATGTCACAGGTAAAAATGACTTCTCTAGGATCGCTTAAGGATGTGGGTTTTTATTAGGTGGCACGCTTTCTTGAGCGCTGGAATACCTACCTCCATCCCCACCCCTTTACTAACATTATTTGAAGTAAGAATTGTCAGTGCTGAGCCATGTTGACAAAATCTAATTGCCAGAATTATTCTCTCCCATATAATACAAACTATTTTGCAAATAAAAACGACCTACACATTTGATGTAGTAGTCCTGTCGTCGAAATAATCAACCATCTACTCCTCTCGCATCTAGCGCAATGAGGGCTCAAGGAAACGCGCGCTGGTAATACGTGCTGCTACGTATGCGTGAAGTTAGTCTTTCCTCGAAACATCCGGTAGGTAGGCATAGAGGAGAGATACATATATCTCTACTCTATGTAGGTAGGTTACAAAAGAAGTAAGAGAATAAAGAACAAATTCTCGGAAAAACAACTTTAATCTTGTCATAACTTGCAATTAATAAGTACAAATATTAAGAAATATAATTAGACTACTCATTAGAGTGATATAAAAATGTATGGTCCAGTTAGAACAATTAGTTCTAACATTTATAGCTTACAAATTAACCTACGGTGCTAGTTCATTCAATAGTTTTTATAATACAGTATTTACAAAAAATAGGTAGATATGTTCAATAATATGTTCGTACGTTTATTAATAAAAATTCTTCTACACCACGATCTCGTAAAATGCCAGAGCCTTTCACGAACATTCGTTTGCAAAGAGGGCGCGTTTCGATGAACAGGAAATCACTCGCGGGAAGAAACGAAACATAACCTCTCGCGCGTTGGCCTCCGTCCAACATGCTTTAAACCACCTAGATAAGAGATAAAACAAATCGTGATTTGTAATAGAAGCATTTCTATACGATTGGGGAAACAAAAGTTTATATTATGTTGGCAGAACGATTGTTTTTCCTCGATCTCCATCGACCTATTGGTCTCAACCATTCAATAATTATGAACGTCATTGCCAACAATAGTTGTTAGTAGTATTGTTGGCAATGACAACGTTTATAATTATTTCATTAGAAATGTCAACGATAACGCACCACAACACCTATACTCAACCATTCATCTATAATCTTACCTCCGTGGTCTCAGCAAAAAAAAATTCATTGATCCGGAAAAAAGCATGCATTTCAACAAATAAACATCAAAGCCTCGTCCTGTCAGGCTCAGCAAAAAAAATCAATTCCGATCTTGAAAAACTAATCTTTTTAAGCAATTAAAATGAAAATAACTGTTCTGCACAAGAAAGGTTAACGAAGATGGTTCTGTTTCCATAACCAAAAGAGTAAATATGAAACAATGCTTCTTAATAGGATTATTTTTATACGGTCGTACAAAAAAATGTTTTTCTTTCCATCGAAGGATCACGATTGTTTTTTTCATTCATAATGTTATATATAATGTTGAACAATATTATTTTATATATAATTATTTTATTTTTATGTATATACTTTTCTCGAATAGGCCGACTTAGACCACGCGTGCATGCATCCTGTATTTACCGGGGGCTCAGTATCATTATATAGGTGGCAGGTGCATGTAATGATCAGGGGATCAATAATTAGCTGGATCAGATTGTTATACCCCAGGTTTGTTGGCCCTGGGGGTATAGAAGATGAAATGATAATGAAGATGATGAAGACGACAAACTTTCAGACACAAATGCATTCATGCCCGAGGCGGGACTCGAACCCACGATCCTTCCTTCCGAGATCACCACGCCCTAGTGGTAAATTATTTTATTTTTATATTGTATTTTATTTTATAGAATTGAATCCCCGTATTCCAAACTAATTAGGGGTGTGATCTGTTCCGATTATCAGAAACTAATGCACCCTACATTTACAAATACATCTATAGATTTACCAGATAGAATGCATCGTAGCGTGCGATTTGAGACATGGCAACGTAGCGTAGCGATCGCATCAAGTAGATTCAGTTCCTTGCGGGAAAGGTTACCGATTTTGCAAGTTCCAGTACGTGATACACTCCGTAGTTACCAGTGCAATAAACGTTTCATTTCGACAAATTGTTTCAATAATTAATTGTTCAGTTCTACTGTAATCATAAAACCCTTTCTGTATACTACAATAAGAATTTTATTTTATTATTCCTCCATCCAAAATTGTTCGGATTAACCGACAATTTGCACTTGCGGGGTTCGGATTAGAAAGGTTCTTCTGTACTTTTTTATATACAATTAATTTATTTGTATATATAATAAAATAGCAATGAAATAATTCTTTCAATCATTATTATTACAAATGTCATTCCAAATGTTACAACGGGGATGTAAAATTTATTTTCATTTACAAAATATCTTACAGGCGACGAGGGCATTGTTTGCAATTTAAGGTAATTTTTCTTTGAGTTTTAGCAACTATCGTTGATTAAGCATTATGGAAACCTTTTTAATGTAACGACTTCAATTCATAAATGATATTCAAAAAACTAAAATGCATTTTAATTCGTTGAGTTGTATAAATCAGAAATTTCAGACTCAAAGCAAATATATTTAAAGTATCATGAACTAACTTATTTTTATTGTGAGCCCTTTAAATTAGTCTTTCCAGTATTCCTAAAACAAGTTGAAAATTGTAATATTTTGAAAATGATTTATTATTTATGATATTTTGAAAATAATTCTTGTAATGAACAAATAGATTTTCAGAAAAAGCAGCATTTTCTCGTGCCCTCCATCACGCATATGTTTTGAGGTACTGCGACGCAGAGGGCCTATGCAAGAAATGCGGCCGTGCAAAAACTTGAGCGACAAGCGTTGCTTAGACATCTCATTGTCAGTGCAATAATCTGAGTCCAGAGCAAAGAAAAAATACTTACTTCAGCAGCTTCGTGGAGTCGATGCACCTCTTGTGAATATTTAAAGATGTCATCATCGCCATCTGCTCCGTCACTAAAGGCGTATTTAAGTTATGTTGTCACATTTACAAATTGTGAAAAGCGGATGCCCCAAAAATGGGTTATTCAAAACAGAATGAATGAAGTCAGAGCAGCAAAATTTATTAATGCACCTACTTGAAATGTAAACGTTCATACCTGTAGAATTGATGAAATGATGAAAAAGGAACATGAAGGAATAAATATATACATACTTTAGGTAATCAATAACCTCTTAAATAAAAATCTTTAATTGTCATAATTTTTTTATTGGTCATTTTTATAATTCGGAAATACACTAAAGTAACTAATTTTTTAAGATACATTAATAATGAATCGCAGTTCACTGCTTTTTTAAAATACTAGTAAAAGTTATTGTAATATTCAATAGTTTTCTGACGATTTCTCATCTTTTGTCACAATAGTTCGTGTTGACAGAAACAATATCCTAAAAATGAGTATTTATAAAAAAAAACAATTCCTTGGACATTAAGCATGCAGGAAAATATAGTATTAAAAATTTAACAATGTTTTCGATTGCCGCTTTCACTATAGCAGCAAGATACATAAGTAACAGTGCAACAGATTTGTTTAAGTCAATTAACTTTTACCAGTGTTCAAGTCATAAGACCAAGGTCAAACGAAACGACCTAAAATAGATGGAATAGGAATCAAAGCTAAACATTACATTGCCCTTACAAAGACATGTCGTCAAGCACAATTCTAAATAGTCAGTCGTGAGTGACAAACCGCTCTAGTCCAAGTTGTCCTGAAATATCAGCCGAATATAACCGGGCGAACCACTTAGGAGCACGCCGCAAAAGGGGCACACGACTTCGAAGCCATTGCTCCCGCGAGGCACCGGCACGCTCGACCAGTACTTGACCGTCTTCTCCGTGGCCATGTGGCCGCACGGGTTGAAGGCGTGCGTCAGCTTGCCCACGTCGACGTAGAAGGCGGATTCGCTGCCCAGGCAGAGCTTGACGGCGGCGCTCACCTCGAGGCACATGGGGCACCTGCGTCCTGCGGCGCCGCGCTCGCGCCCCCACGCGTGCAGCCCCTGCACGTGGCCGCACTTGAGGTACACGTAGGGCGCGTGCCTGCCGTCCTCGCCACCCACGCTCGCCAGCGTCCGCGGCAGGACGAGCGTGTTGAGGCCGACCGGGCACTGCGGCCGGCCGGCGTTCAGGTCATCCACCAGCGCCTCCAGGGTGTGCGACGTCGGAGACGCCTTCAGCGCGTCGGCGGAGCGCCACAGCAAAGTCACGCCGCACAAGTCAATTAACGACCCGTCCTGGAGAACGTTGGTTTCATCCTCGAGGATTTCGCCGGGCTGGTGGGCGGAGCGCGAGTTTCGTAGCGAAAGAATCTCTCCGCACAAGGACACTTCATGCCAAAGGCCGGCTTTCGCCTCTCCGCCGGAGAATGACCCTCGCGGATGGCAAAGCAACACACCGTTGGTTGTTAAACCGTCGACACATTTAGAGTCTCTTGTATTCTGCAATTTAATAGCATTTTGGCCGAGAAACAGTTTTCGAGAGGAGTCAAATCCCCCGGCGTAAACGCGAACAACTTTAGGATTCGAACGGCATACAAGAACACGACAAGCAAATCGAGAAACCGAACTCTGAAACACTTCACGAACACTATTACATTGGCGAGCTTGGTGAGTTACCACAAACTGATTCGCCCTTTCTGAAGATCGACCAATTTGAAACATATCATATTCTTCATCCAGTTCATATTCTACAACAGTTTGCTTCTGCGTCGCATTCGGATTCGAAGCGTCGTCGACATCATAATGTTTCGAATATTTTAAACCATTAGCAGAATTTTGTTGATGTACTTTATATTTACTTCGCCTTCTACCACGGTTACCGTCCGGAAGAACGCCGTTGTAACCCAAAAGCACAAGTTCTCCATATAAGACGGGCGATTCCTGTTCAACAGATCCGGCACTGTCGGGCAACGCATTCCCTGCTTCGTTGCTCGTCGACATCTTGTGGACAGCACCGTCAACTGTTGACGCCTACAGAGGCGGAGTCTTGCGTCGAACAGCTCACGTTCTCGCTCGCCGCAGCTACCAACAATGGCGCGCGCCGGGGCAACGCGCCTGCACGGGAGCAAGTTGCGACTTGTTCATTCCACGCCGCATGCGGCCCGGCGGGCGAGGCGGCTGTGACGTCACTTCCAAGGACGAGGTGCGGGTTGGCGGACGGGTCGGTGACGCGTAGTTTTCAAACACGTCACACGTTTCCTCACTATTATAAGACCGTTTCAGTTGAATAAGTAACGCGGTTCCGACTTTTCAAAATGTCAAACGGAGAATTTCTAATCAGTGGGTGTGTAGTATTCTTAAAATAACATTTCGGTTCTACTATTAGGACACCGAAAAATTGAGAATATGTCAAAAAAATGTAGTTTTGGGCGGCGATAGAGGGCATCTGGCAAGAGTATGTGGCAAGCCCGAATAGCTAGCCCAAACCAAACAAAATGGAAAACAAATACTAGAAAGTCTGTGCCATGCTGTAGCGCCCTTAGTTACTTTCTCGTATACGTACGTATATACGTTTTTTTAAATAGTGAATAATAATATGGCTGTGTTCTACAAGTACGTTTATATCAGTGGTCAAGATGGCGAACTCCATATTTAAATGTTTTGCCCCTAGAATATGCTATCTGCTCAGGCAAAAAAAAAAAAAAAAAGTTGTTTCGGTGACCCGTGTGAGTACCGCCTTGGCTCCATGACAGCCCATGTTTAACTGAACTGAACTATTTCGTGTTTTGCAACGTGTGTTTGTGTATGTGGTGTTTACTTTCTAATTTCAATTGAAAAATAGCAGTAATACAAAATGATGTCATGTACTCTTACTCATGCGCCGGTCAAATGTAACATCAAAGTTGTTCTCTCTATTATGAAATACCTCCAAAATCAGAGTGGTAACACAAGCTATTGACTAAAAGTTAATTGTACCAAGCACTGTTACCTTCCGTATAATTACTTTACTGAAAAAAGAGAAAAATAGAGTAGTCACATTTTTTCTCTAAGGGAGTGGTATAATATTATTCTTGGCTGCAGGAAAGTATTTCCTCACAGAAATGAACCAAGAATATCCATTTGACAGAAAACTTTAAAAAATGTATTACCAACATAGAAAAATGGTATCTAAAAGACTAAAAATATGGGAAACTTCGCAATAATACTACCACACAAATTTGACGTGTACAATTTTCTCAAGAATGGCTCCAAATTTTCAAAATAGCGTGAATACACTTATAAAGGTGGCATAAGTGCGATGTTCATTGTTAACTCTAAATTTTTGACAATTGCTCAAATTAGGTTTTTTCAGCGACTTACAATAACAACAAAATTGAAGGTAGAGATTATTCTTTCAAATGATATTTATTGTCGACAATTAGTTCTTTCATTAAGGTCATATATTTTTTAAAATTTTTTATTAGTTTTTTGGCAATATTGCCTGAAGTGTAAGCAATTAAAAAAATTATCAAAAACATGATTTTCTCGAAATCCGCTACAAGTTTTTAAAACCTTTTGATAGGATTAGTGTTAAAAGTACGTTAGAGGTGACTATCTTTCACTTTATTCTTTTGTTTTTTTTAAATACCGAAAATGTATTTTTTTGAATAGCCTCTTGCGCTTTTAGTATTTTCATTAGCGTCGGATTTTTAAACTATTGCATTTACAAGTACATGTTCTTTAAATGACGTCTTTTAAAGTGTCTCGAAAACACAAAACGTTTGTGAACTGTTAAAACGTGTTCAAATTTCCGCATCCGTAGAAACCTTCAAACGCAATTTTCTCAAAAACAGATCCACTTTTCTTCCTTTTTGTACGGATAGTACTAATTGCACTGTTCCATATGACAAAATTAATTTCGGAGTATTCTTTTTTTTTTCTTTTTCAAAAAATGCATAAATGTATTTTTTAAATCTTTCATGTCGTTAATATACACATTTCTAGCGGTATATATGCATTATTGCTCTTGTGAGTTGAAGTGGTTCAAGTGACATTAAATAAAGTTTATCGAAAACTCATACAATTTCTGTTAAAAATAGCTTGAAATTTCGTCTTTACAGAAATGCTTAAACGTCATTTTCTTAAAAACGGCCCTACATTTTTTAATGTAAATTTCCAATTAATACAATGATTTACTATCGTTTAGTATTGTTAAAGTAATATTTCATTTCTACTATTCGGAAGAAGGAAAATTTCGATTTTTTAAAAGTACTTTTTGTGCGACGATAGATAGTGGGCAAGAGTATGTGGCAAGTCCGCATAGCTAGCCTAGACCAAAGAAAATAGAAAACCACTATCCACATTCTCGCTACCGCTTACGCTGAAGAAAGAAAGATATGTAATGTTGCGATAATGCGAATTTTCGCCAGAAACCTTTTATTGCCGGGCCCTAAAAAGAAAAAGTAGATAAATGCAGTTTGCTAAATTTAAAATAAAGTTCTCGCTACTGCTTAAGTAGTATAGAGAAATTATTATTTTAATGCTGCGGGAAAAGAAGTGGGAATTTTCAACGGAAAAGCCCTTATTGCTGGGCCCTAGTAACGGAGAACCGGATAAATCTTGACCCCCATAATTTAGGAGTATATTATAATAGTAAATTACTTACTTTAACACGTTTTGTAATCTGAATCCATGCGTGGGTCCATGATACCAAACACTTGACTGACAGCGAAACGAGTGTATGTTCGTCGGTCTGCCTGTCTGTATGTCCATCTCTGGTCAACGCTAGCTCCTAAACCGTTCAGCTGATATTCTCCAAAATTGATATTCGCCTTTCGATCTGTACGAACTCGAGGCTATTGGGATTTCAAACAGATAAATTTTCATTTTTTGAGTATACTTTACACGAAACCTTAAATACATTTTAAACCTTTCTTAAAAAAGGCTCCAAATTTTTTATTAAACTTCGTCCTCGGATAGCGTAAGGGACGCTAAGCAGATCGGTGCAAGTATAATGTTTATTGAAATCCCTGGTTTTCGAAAATTGCAAAAATACATTTTTTTGGGAAGCATCTTGTTCAACTACAATATTGAAGATAAAGATTTTTCCCAAATGAAATCTGTTCTTCAAAGTCATCTTGAAATTAAATCATATTCAATTTTACGAAAATATGAGTATTTTTCCTCTAATTTTGCTCAAAATATAAGCAGTTTTAGTTTTATTCCTCAAAACACGCTCTAATTTTTTTCTAATTTCTCCTCATATTCTCACTAGTTTTGTTAGGAAGCGATAGTGTAACTTGAGCAACGTTGTTAACTATTAAGATGTGTTTTTTAGATTCTAAATAAAATTAATTTACTAACATTACTTACTTTTTTTAAACTTGCAGCCAGCTTATTCCGGGTGAGGGATTTCCTTCGGTTGCTGTGGCTGAGCCTCGAGCGGAAACCTCCCGGAGTCGGCAAGTACTGGGGTGAAGGGGTCTTCACGTGAAATATCGAGCACCTCTTCCAGGAAACCCAGGGAAGCGGTTTCCCAGGGAAGGTAAGAGAGAAAATTCTCTCATACATATTTTTTTCTTTTGAAGTAATTTACAAATAAAATATGTGCGTTGATATTTGAAGGAAAATATACTAATTTTTAATTAATATCTATCAAGAAATTTACTTTGATCGAGCCGCAAACAAAGCGCGATTTTAAGCTATGAGAAATCGATTTCAAATTACTCTCACAAAGAATTAACTGCATTTCCTCCTCTGCGTCTTTACCTGACATAGCGCTCCTACGGCCATAACAGGAAATATTTAAATGGAGTTATACAATTCATCTCACATTATCATCCTCCCTTGCACTCTCTCTGTCAACTATGAGGCACGGATGAGGACGCGTCCGGGCAGAGCACGTTGCCGCACGTTGAAATGTAATATCAAAGTGAGTACAAGCGAACCGAGAGATCTTTGTAAGCCCATAGCATGTCACCACATATTGTCTAATTCGTTGTGTAGTTCATTTGAAATAGTTTATGCAATTGAATTGAATCTATTTTCTCCTGTTGAGATGGATTATATTTGTTTCCGTATGTCAACTACTATGCTCAATAATTCCATAACTGTAGTGCATGTTGTATCCTGGCAGATGGTGTTCCTCGTCTGCTGAGACGTGAGATACAGAGCCGAATTAAAAGTCGGTTTGTGGGTTTTCGCCTCCTCAAATTCCATCTACGAAGCCCCGCCAAAATCCGGGCACACTCCAGGCTCCCCACTGGCCTCTCGGCATGTGTAGTAGCGTGTGTGTGTGTGTGTATAAGGGGAGAGGAAGAGGAAAGAAAGAACGCGAGCTGCCCTTGGCCCACTTTTAATATTCAGCTCGTTCATTCACCTGGCACTGTTGTGAGAAAGCTTGTAAAATTACCGATCAGGTTAGCCGGTCGCTAGCGTTTTTCTCCAGTCAGCAGCAGCCAAGTTCGGCCTAGCTATCTAGCTAGTGATGGAAATCAGACGTAGTCAGGATTCCAACCCTGAGGTGTCCAGATCAGAGACGCTGCGGCGGTGACACTCGTCGCCCTGAGCCTTCTCAGCCGATCCCTCCTCTTCACAAATGTGCAAGAGCCGCTTCTGAGCAAAAGCCTCTCGGTTGACGGCGCTGTGTCCCACGCCGACCTTCGCCCGTTTCCTCCATATTCCATCGCACGGAATTGTTCTACAGACCGTTCACAAATGCTCCACGACATTCGAGACCACGATTGTTCCAAAGTCGAGACAGAGAACGAACACATTGGACATTTTCCCAGAGATTTCGAGGTCTTTAAAGAAATTCTCATACGAATATAAGCCCTAAATATCACGTGACAACGAAATGTCACCTACATTCTAATTTTCTTCGGTAGTAGTTTTGCGGGTTCTTTGTGGAAACATTGCTTCCAGCAAAATGACTGTTTGTCTGTCTGTAGTCATCGTTAGCGCCTAATCCGTTCCCAAAATTTGCAACAAAATTGATATTCCCCGATCGATCTAGGTACTGT